TACTAATTACACGTCACCACTCTGAGACCTAACACTGATTGCCTTAATCATGCTTTAACATCAGATTTAACAGTCTAACCATAGGAAATAGGACTAACTGTTCAAACCCTTATTTTTCTCCCCCCTCCAGTGCTCGGAAGCGGCCGATCCCATACTACCGGCCCAGTCCTTCATCTTCAAGCTACGACAGCAGCCCATCACGATCCAGCCGCAGCCGCAGCTACAGCAGCTACAGCCACAGCAGAAGTCACAGCAGGAGCCACAGCAGGAGCCGGAGCCAGAGCTGGAGCCGCAGCCACAGCTGGAGTCGCAGCCAAAGCCGGAGCTGGAGTCGCAGCAGGAGCCGCTCCCGCAGCCACCACAGTTATTACAGCCGCAGCAGCTATGACAGCCCGGGGTTCTGATGGCAACCAGCAGAACGAGAATGAAGAAAAAAAAAGAAAAAAAAAAACAGGAACAAAAGAAGGAGAAGTGCTGTTAAACCTGCTGCACTCTGGTAGATTCATTACGTATCCTTAGCAAGTCCTCAGCAGAAGCCGCACAGCTGTACAGCCTGGGATCCAAACTCCTTCACCATGGACCATTCTATCTCTAACACAGAGCCTGGATCAAAGAGAGGAAAATGTATTTTGATATAGCACAATACAATATTGGCTGTCACTGTTCATGTCTTCTCACACATTCAAGGAAAGGTTTTTTCTTTTTTACATGTCTAAAATGAATTGGCTGAGCCCAAAGAACAAATGTATGTTAGCACTTTCCTTCTCATCTTCCACACAGCTACCAAAAATACATTCAATAACAGTTAACAACAGTTATATAAGTATATATATAGATATATATCAAATATATCCTGAAAAGAGGGGCTGAGTAGAAGACAAAAAGAAGGCAGACACATCGAAATCACACAGCTTACTGTACATTTCAGAGAATCACTTTGTTTTCTCTCATCAACCCCAAAGACTTCCAGTTCATCCAAGCACACAGATCAACAAAAAGAGAACAAAAGAGAAGTCAGAGGATGAATCAGGAAAAGAAATAAAAATAACTTTTTTTTTGTTTTTTTTAGGAGAAAACTGTATTGCATAGATTTGTCTGTACAGATGTAAACTCTCTTAAGTTTGGCTTTGTAAACTATGCACTGTATATTCCATATAGTTTGAAGAGGTATGTTCAGCATGATGCATCAGGAGAGACTCAAGGGACCTGATGGAAATGAGATGTGCCAGCAGGGTGAATCTGCCCTGCCCCTTCCCCGTGACCTTTGCAAACAGAGGTGAATGAAACGGAGGGGGGGGGGGCTGTATGTGTTACATACTTTTACTCTCTTTCCTGTTTAAGTAATTACGTTCATTATGCTAATCCTGTGCGAGACTGTGTGTATGTGTGTGTGAGTTTGAACCTCCTTTGCAAAGATCAACGAGGTAATGATTTACATGAGCTGCTGTATGGTACCGTACTGCAAAAAGTCTCCATGCACATTTGTGAGTTGATCTCAGCTATTTATGAAACTCGCTGTATTTATTCATTTATTTATTGGGTTATTTATTGTTTAATATATTTATCATTTTGCTGTGAAGCAGTTGGATCATGGTTTGGAGATGGGTTTGCTGCAGATGTGAGAAAAGTACTGTAAAGCTCCAAGTTATAATACAGAATCGGTTTCTTATTGCAAAGTTTTCGCTCCTGTTATCAGATCAACAAGCAGGGCACAGATTCACTGCTATGTGTTTAAGAAGCTCTGATTTTTGAGTTGGTTGAACTGAGCATTCACCCATAGTTACTCCCACGACTGCCATTATCGCGTCCCCAGCCGATGTAATGACTCATGGTAACGCGGGGCTGCTGTGGCTCTGTCTGTGCCGAGGGAGGAAGATGACTCGGCCTGAAGCAGCCTGAAGAATCTATTACTCTGCTCTACTGTACATTTCCAGTCACTCCATATTTCAGTCCCTTGTATAATTGGCCACACAATTCTAGCAGAGGTCTCCCCAGTTGCTGGCTACAAAAGATAATGAGCGATGGCTTGGCAGGCATGGCAGCAGGCTGTGTCTGCACCTAATGAGGGTGGTTAACAAACAGGTGATACAATCAGGGATCAGCCTAAGTCTTCCTTACCATTCACCCGGTCTCATGACATGCATTTCCAGTGTAACCACACTTATCCCAGCTGTGATGCTCTGCAGCCTGACCATTTATTCCAAGTATAACATCGCCCCTTTGATTCTACAAATCATTCTTTGTATTGTACAAGTTATTATACCTGACAATAAACAGAAACAAATGGGGAAATGATCCAGTTTTTGAGTTCTTCTCTCTGCCTTCAGGTGCAGTCAGTGATAACTTGTTGGTGCTGTGTATTTATCTTCCTACAGATGGCACTAATGAGAACCTTGACCAAAAACATGAAGCCTCTCTCTATTAAGTAGGCTAGAATGTTCTCCAACTGGGGCTGAGAGGAAGATATGGCTTATTTTAGAGGCAGATCTCACATCCTGTGCTGTAACTTTGAGGGATTAGATTTCTTACACTGAGACCTGAGCTATATCTTCCAGAAATACTTACTTTGCCATATATATCAAATAAATTAACATAACCTCCATTTCCCTCTGAACACTTCCTCGAGATTTCTCAGTTACTATCACTGTTGTAGCTGAACTGTCAGTTTATGTTATTTTTTCCCTTCTCCTTCTCTGTCTGTGTAACACTGTGAGAGATAGAGGCATGTCCCTGTGACACCTGCTCACTTTGTGCCAGAAGTGTACAGCTCAATAGGACACCTTTCACAGCAGACACTTTAAGTGTCACAGCAGCAAAGTCCACTGGTGGATAGTTATTAAATTAACAGTGGCACACTTCCATCAAGACTGCCAGTAAACTGTGACAATGAGCAGCATGGACCAGACCACTAGGTTTCAAAGCTGGATGCCAATGCAGGATTTTGGCAGATTCCCTTATCCAGGGACTCTTCTTTGCTCACGACCTTTATTACACCTTTTTTGGTCGGTATTGTTATAATCGTCTCTGCTTTGGAATCTCATCAGCCCCAGAACACTTCCAGAAATGGATGACACGCATTCTTGAGGGCTTAGAAGGAGTCCCCTGCCAGATGGATGATGTGCTCATCTGGGGGACGTCACAAGCAGAGCATGATGAGAGACTTCGAAAAGCACTGGTTCGACTGCAGGAGGCTGGAGTAACATTGAACGGCAAGTGTGAGTTCTTCAAGAACAGGATAAAGTTCCTGGGGCAGGTCATTGAGGCATCGGGGGGTTAGCGCAGATCCTGACAAGGTGCATGCCGTGAGTTCCATGGATGAGCCCAGCAACATAAGTGAGGTGTTTCTTCCTCACCTTGCGGAAAAAACGCGCCCCCTAAGAGATCTGCTGAAGAAGTCCAACCTGTGGTCATGGGGGCCACAGCAGCAGCAGGCTTTCGACGGCATCAAAAACGAACTGACGACACCCCCAGGGCTTGCTCTGTATGATCTAAGTGCTGAAACGTGCGTATCAGCTGACTCATCTTCGTATGGCTTGGGAGCAGTGCTTCTCCAGCGGCACGCTGATTTAGGGTGGAAACCAGTAGCATACGCTTCAAGAGCTCTCAGCGCGACAGAGCAGCGACATGCTCAAATTGAGAAAGAGGCCCTCGCTTCAACATAGGCCTGTGAGAGGTTTGCAGAGTTCCTAATTGGGAAAACATTCCACATTGAAACAGACCACAAACCTCTGGTCTCGTTTCTTGGCTCCAAGGGCCTGGATGAGCTTCCACCTCGTATACAACGTCTACGCATGCGATTGATGAGGTTCTCTTATACCATATCTCATGTTCCTGGTAGAGACATTGCAACAGCAGATGTACTGTCCAGAGCTCCTGTATGTGACACAACTGAGGGTTTGCCGGAGGAAGAAATCAACTTGTATTTGGAGTCCGTCATAGCAAGTCTGCCAGCCACAGAGCCACGACTCAGAGAAATCCAGACACATCAGGACAATGACAGCATTCTAAGCAAGCTGAAGAAGTTCTGTGTGGAAGGATGGCCAGATAAGTACTCCATTGAAAGGGTTTTCCAGCCTTATCTGCCATTTTCAGGTGACCTCACAGTCCACAATGGTTTGCTTCTTTATGGGAGCAGATTAGTGATTCCCACATCACTCAGAGCAGACATTCTGTCTAGACTACATGAGGGACATCTGGGAATAACGAAATGCAGAGAGAGAGCTAAACAATCTATTTAGCTCTCTCTGAGCAGTGAGCAGGCCTGAGCAGTGAGCTGATAAAAGTGATCGAGACCTGTGACTAAACACAAAGAAACCATGCTACCTACCGAGTTCCCACAAAGACCGTGGGCCATGGTTGGAACTGATCTGTTCCAGATAGAGAATAAACAGTACCTGGTCATTGTGGATTACTTTTCCTGATTCTTTGAAGTTGCCAAACTGACATCTACAACATCAGAGGCAGTGATCGAGCACTGTAAATCAATCTTTGCACGTCATGGCATACCAGAGCGGGTTCGCTCTGATAATGGACCTCAGTTTTCGTCTGATTCCTTCACAAGATTTGCACAAGAATGGGGTTTTAGCCATGTGACATCCAGTCCCCACTTCCCTCAGAGCAACGGGGAGGCCGAGAGGGCAGTCAGGACTATCAAAAGTCTTCTTAGAAAGTCTGGCGATCCCTATCTCACCCTTATGGCATACCGGGCCACTCCATTGGCAAATGGCTACAGCCCAACTGAGCTTCTCATGGGTAGAAGGATAAGGACAACTATTCCTGTCATCCCATCACAGCTAAATCCAAGAGGTACGGACACAGACAAGCTTAAAGCTATAGAACAAACGTACAGACAAAAACTACAACTACAACTACAACCGCAGACACAGAGCACATGATATGCTATAGCTCAATCCTTGAGATATTTTGAATATTGTTACATCTCAAAATTTTCTTCTGCTTAGTAAGTTTAGCACAGCATGTCGTACACAGAAGTAAATAAGGCTCTATGACAGATTTTTGGAGTCAACCCAAGAGCCTTACAGCCTTACGTACAGTACAGATGGGCAGATCTATCCAAGTATTAATACCATGGCTGGTATTGATATCAGATTGATAATAGGATCAATATTTTTGGATCAATATTAGAATCAATATTTTGTTTCTATCCTCTTCAGTATGTAGCCCTCTTAAGTAATTTTTTTCACTGTCACATCTATTTTTTAAATAGCCTAGCACATTTAAAACAATAAAAGCTGACCCAAGGGCGTAGATTTGGTTTTGGCATTGGTGGGGACGGATGATTCAACCACCGAACTCTGCCCTGTTTCTTTTTTTCCCCTTTTTGTCTTTGCTTCTTGATAAAAAAGGATAAATATACTTGCCTACATATGCTATTCTACATGCTTTTAAACCATTTAAAATTACAATTCATAGTTTTACATTTGAATTATATATTGTTAAATTACTATTAAACAAATGACTGACTAAGTATTTTAGAGTTTAGTTTACTTCAGCCATATTCCATATAAATCAGGTATCATACAAAAATAA